AAGGGGCAGGCTGCAGGGTGCCAGGGCACCCCAGCAGTCAGCCTGGACAGAGGAGCCATCCCAGGGTGCTGGCTTGCTGGTCCCAGGGCTGTGATTCCCCCGCCCTGCTCCTGCCACAAGGCTGCAGCCGGCAGGGTCCAGTGTGCCGAGTTCATCTCTTTGAAGACCTCCTCCATCCCTGCGTGAGGCTTTCAGCAGTGTGAAGAGCTTGGTGCCTGCAGGAGGGGCAGGCATGTCTGGGGGCTGTCTGGCTTTCCTCAGCCTGCCATCATCCCTGTCTCCGCAGGAGAGTCCAGTACAGTGGTGAGTCCCTACCTGCCGGGGGGTGTGAGTGATGGGCAGTGGCACACGCTGCAGCTCCACTACTACAACAAGGTACGTGTGCCCCGGCTGTCCCCCTATGTGTGTGGGTCTCTCTCCCCATGAGGCGTGAGCGAGCCACTCTGGTTTTCCTGTTCTCCGTCTCTGCCCCATGAGGGAGGCTGTGGAGAGAAGGTAGAGGTGGTTTTCAGCCCTTGGGGATGGGTGCAGTGGAGCAGACAGCCGGGTGCAGGGAAGATGGACCCTCAGGGGGCAGAAATGTGCTCCATGCAGTGTCCTCACCTGTATCCATCTCTGGTGCTGCTTGCTGGGCTTGACTGGAGGTGTCCCTCCTGCTTCACTCACACTCCAGCAGTGCAGCGGTGCCTGGGTTGTGCTCAGGCCCTTTCCTTGTTATCTGTGGGCCCTTGGGTGCCTGGGTCTGGGGGCATGTGTGCTGCTAATGCCCTGCATTTGGTTTCAGCCCAAGGTCAGCGCCCTGGGAGTGGTGCAGGGCCCGTCCAAGGACAAGGTGGCCATCTTGACAGTGGACGAATGTGACGCCTCGGTGGCCCTGCAGTTTGGCAACGAAATCGGGAACTACTCCTGTGCTGCAGAGGGTGTACAGACCAGCTCGAAGAAGTGAGTTCCTCATGGACTGGGTGGGGAGAGGAGCAGGGCACCTGGGTCCCTTGCATAGTCAGCCCTTCACATCTGGGATAGCTGTAGTTCCAGGGGCCTTGACTGTGTGTGCGCCTGTGCCCGGGGATTTCTGCTTCCTAGCCCCTTGTGCTGGGGAGCCAACTGTCTGGCTTGAGGTCGATATGGCTCTTAAAGCCCTGGGCTTCTGTCCTTGCAGGTCCCTGGACCTCACAGGTCCCTTGCTCCTCGGAGGGGTCCCCAACCTGCCGGAAAACTTCCCCGTCACTCACCGGGACTTTGTGGGATGCATGAGAGACCTGTACATTGACAGCAAACGCATTGACCTGGCCTCTTACATTGCCAACAACGGAACCACTGCAGGTACCAGTGCCTCTGCTCCGGCCGCCCCTGCCCTGGGAATTGCCCCTTCTGCTTATGCAGCAGCCCTGCCAGGCTGTAAACAGCGGTGCAATAGCACAGCTGGAGCTGAACAGCTTAGCATCAGGGGAGGGGGCCCCCATCCCCCAATGAGCCAGTCCCCATCCCAGCTAATGTTCTGGAAATGTCCCCTGATCCCAAGTGCGGAGCCTGCCAGAGCTGGCCTATGTGGGAGACACTAAGCAGTCAGTCCAGCTCCACAGCATGTTTATTCTGGCATAAGGAACAGCAACAGCCTTGATCCTCATCCCTGAGCAGGCGGGGTCTGTGCTGAGAGGCTGAGCAGCTGGGCTTGCCCCTCTGGCAGCCAGCGGAAGGGCTGGGGCAGTGGTGTCTCCATATGTCCATATGGGCTTGGAGGGAGGTGGTGAGCACGTCAAGGCTGATGTGGGTGACTTTGATACCTCCAGGCTGCCATGCCAAGCACACGTTCTGTGACTCCAGCCCCTGCAAGAACGGTGGGACCTGCTCTGTCAGCTGGGGGACCTACTCCTGCCTCTGTCCTGTTGGCTTCGGGGGCAAAGACTGCCGCCACCGTGAGTGAGCGGGCGCCGCTGGGCTTGGGCAGGGTGGGTACGGGCAAGACTCTGCTGGGTTTGCTGTGGAAGCAGGGTAAGGGAGATGAACTAGCTCTGTTGTCCCTGCATCTAGTGCTCCCTGTGTAGTGCCCATCCCTTCTCACCTCCACTTTCCTTTCCAGCCATGCACCACGCCCACTATTTCCAGGGCAACAGTGTCCTGACCTGGGACTTCAAGACGGATGTAAAGATCTCGGTGCCGTGGTACCTGGGCTTGGCATTTCGGACACGCCAGCCAGATGGGGTGCTTCTGCAGGCGCATGCTGGCCAGTATACCACCCTGCTCTGCCAGGTAGGGTTACAGCCTCAGCTGCAGCACTGTGCCCCAGCCTCCACTGCCGTCTGCCCCAGGAGAGCAGGAGGACCCTGCCCTCCATGTTGACTCCAGCCCAAGCAGAGGGTGGTTGCAGGGAGGGGTGTTTAGCAGGGTTGGGTTTCCCTCCCTATGTTCAGAGCTCAGAGGGAGGGTAGGCTGGAGGCAGCCAAAGTTGGCGAGACCTTCTCTGACTGCTGCCATTGCTGGCTCTCTCTCTGCAGCTGGCTGGGGGCCTGCTGTCCTTCATGGTGAGCAGGGGGTCCGGCCGCAGCACCAGCCTCCTCCTGGACCAGCTGCGGCTCAGCGATGGGAGGTGGCACGACCTCCAGCTGGAGCTGCGGGATGTCCGCAGTGGGCGAGACTCACGCTATGTCATCACCCTCACTGTGGACTTCGGGCTCTACCAAGTAAGTGCTGCTTGAGACCCCGGCACCAGGACAGGAGCCATGGGGGATGCTTGGCATACATGCACCAGGCTGGGCTATGCGCCCTCGGAGAGGGCTGGGGCAGGACAGGGACAGGGCTGGGGCAGGGCTGATGCCGGTTGCCCCATGTTACTCCCTGTCCTTCTACAGGATACGGTCGTTGTTGGAAATGAACTGCATGGCCTGAAGGTGAAACACCTGCACGTGGGGGGAGTCCTGGGATCTGGCGAGGTGCAGAATGGGCTGAGGGGCTGCATACAGGTAAGTCCATTGCTCTGAGCCTTCCCTTTCCAGCATGTTACACGGAGGGGTGGAAGCACAAGGCTGGCAGCTGCTGCTGGCATCCATCCTGCTGGTGACACTCTCCCTCTGAGCATTCAGAGCTCCGAGGTGCTGTGGGGCAGCCATAAATCAATGCAGCAGGGGTGATGGGGGGTGGCTGCCCCTGGGGGTTTGTGGAGGGCAGAAGTACTGGACACTTGTGTGTGTGTCCTGGCTTCACTGTGAATTTGTCACCTGCATTGCAGGGTGTGCGACTGGGTGACAGCATCACCGGGACTGCGCTGCCCAAGCCCAGCCATGCCCTGCGGGTGGAGGCTGGCTGTAGCGTGCCAAGCCCCTGCGACTCCAACCCCTGCCCGGTCAACAGCATCTGCAAGGATGAGTGGCAGAGCTACTCCTGTGTCTGCCAGCCAGGTAGGGCCTGCAGCACCCTGCCACCCCTTTACTCTTCATGCCTGTCTGTCTTCTCCTCTCCCCCTGTGGCTCCCTCCTGGCCTGTGACTGCTCTCCTGCCTGTCCCTTGGGCAAGTCCCGGGCCCAGAAATCCCCACAGGGCGCTCAGTAGCTTTTGTGGGGAACAAAATCCCTCCTGAGCCCCCTGAATCCACTCCTTGGTGCTCTGGCCCTTCTCAGGGCGAAGGTGCTTGCTTTACGCAGTGCTCCCTGTCCACACCTCAGGGTACTATGGCGGGGACTGCGTGGATGTGTGTCACCTCAACCCCTGCAAGAACAAGTCGGTCTGTCGTCGCAAGCCAGGCTCACCCCTGGGCTACGTGTGCGAGTGCGGAGGGAACTTTTTCGGGCAGTACTGTGAGCACAGGTGAGATGTGGAGCACAGGGCAGGGCCATGGCCTCCATGCCTGGCTCTGTGCTGCCCTGTCATCCCGGCTATGTGACCAGGGACCTCTCAGTGCCACCCGGCTCCTTGGAGCTGCTGAGCAGTTGGGCTGGTGGGAGGAGAAGGCCCCGGAGGATTTGGTTGTTGTAACAGCAGAGGTATATCTCTCCCTAGGATGGACCAGCAGTGTCCAAAGGGCTGGTGGGGGAGCCCCACCTGCGGGCCCTGTAACTGTGATGTGAACAAGGGCTTTGACCCCGACTGCAATAAAACCAATGGGCAGTGCCACTGCAAGGTAAGGGGCAGCTGTGCCCGTGGGGATGTGGCCCATGGCTTGCCTTGATCCCTGCTTGTCCTTGATGTTGTTCCTTGTCCTCTCCAAAGGCCTGGCAGCTGTCCAGGCCCTGCTTTGTGTGCCCACCTCTGGGCTGGATCCCTGCTCAGCTCTTCTGTGGAGCCCTCCTGCCCCAGCACAGTGATGATGGGGGCAGTGGAGGTGCTTGTAAATCAGGAGAGCCTGGCCCTTCTCTGCCCTGGCTCCAGCGGTGCCCTGGGCGCCAGCCTCGGCTGCTGTCTCGATGGGCTGTCTGATGGCTGTCCCTGTCTCCCCCCCAGGACTTCCACTACCACCCCAAAGGCAGCGACACCTGCCTGCCTTGCGACTGCTACCCCGTGGGCTCCACTTCACGCTCCTGCGACAAGGAGACAGGCCGGTGCCACTGCCGGCCCGGGGTCATCGGGCGCCAGTGCAATAGCTGCGACAGCCCTTTTGCCGAGGTGACACCCAGCGGTTGCGAGGGTGAGTGTGGGCGCAGTGGGGAGCTGGTGCTGCAGGGCTTGGCATCCATGGCCTCCCCCTGTGACCGGTCCCTTGGGGTGCTTGTCTCCACAGTGCTCTATGACGGCTGCCCCAAAAGCCTGAAGGCGGGTGTATGGTGGCCCCAGACCAAGTTTGGCTTCTCTGCTGCAGTGCTGTGTCCCAAAGGCTCCTTGGGTGAGTGGGGGATGCAGTGGGGAGGGGAGGGGGCAGCCTGGCTGTCCTGCTGGGGGCTATAGCAGCCCCAGCAATATCATTTTGTTCTCGTGCTGTCCCAGTCCCATTTATCTGGGCTTGAGGGCTGGATGAAGGAAGTTGGAGGAGAAAATGCCGCAGCCTAGGGGAGAGCAGAGGGGGCTGGCCATGGGACTGAGGCTGGGGACAGGCTGTAGGGTCTAGGCCCATCACCCAGCCCTGGAGCTGTGCTGTTCCCTCAGCCTCGGTCTCCACCTTCTTCCTGCTGCTTTTTGGTTTCAGTGGGCTTGAGGCTGGGGTCAGGCCTGGCATGGCAGCTTGGCACCTGCAGCACCTTGCTGCAGCTCTGCTGGCCCCATCCTCGGTGTGCACTGCAAGGGGAGCAGGGCACAGCACATTGTTAGGTGAGTGTCTTGGGTAGGAGTCACGTCCCAAGCTGGAGGAGGCTGTCCTCTGTGATGGGAAAGGTGCGAGCAGGGTGTCAGGGACTGTAGGGCAGCGCGAGCCATAGGGGACAATACAAACCCTGTCCTTCTCCAGCCGTTCGCCCCAGGAGGAGGCAGGTTCGGCTCCTAACTGTTGTCGCTTCTCTCCCCGGTTCTCTCGCCCTCCGTGCTCAGGCTTGAGGGGTGCAGGTAAGGTTGCTCCCACCTCCTTCTCCTTGTGCTGTAAGGGCTGTGCCACATGGCTTTCCCTCTCTGCTCCCTGCTGGCACCCTGCACACCCCTGCACTTTCCTCACCGCTTCTGGAGCTGCCGAGCGTCTTCCCAATGCTTTGCCTGGCCTCACCACTCCTACATGCTGCTTCCCCGCTCCCAGCGCACTAACCAGGACAAACCTGGCTGCAGCTGCATGCCACCCCTGCCACCCGCTGTCCTGAGCTTTGGCTCTGGGCAGGTCCACACTCTGCTCCCTGGTTGTGATGGATGCTGGCTCTCCTGGGCTGGTACCTGCTTGCTTAGGCTGGGAAGGGAAGGAGCTGGTGATGATCAATGGGTAGGAAGGCCATGGAGGAATGGCTGTGGGGTGGAGAAGGGGAGAGCTGTTTGAGCAGGGGGCATGATGGGCATGCTCAGCACAAGGTCCTGTCCCTCTGCTCAGTTGGCAGCTGAGCCAATCTGTTCTCTGCCAATCTCTGTTCCCTGCCAGGGGAAGGCCAGCAGTGCAGAGGTGTTTTGGTTCTCCCTGCTCCCAGCTTCAATGGCACTGGTCCCTGTGCTTCTGCAGCTGGGGGAAAGACGGTTGGGGAGGACATCTGGGAGCTGATGGTGGGAGGGGGCACGCTAGTCACTGGGGCTTTTCTGAGCAGCAACTGGAGACTGCTCCAGACTCCCTCTCCCTGCCCTGGCCACACTCCTGCCCTCTCCCAGCCATGGGTGCCTGGGTGGGCTCCTGTGCCCTGGTGCCTTCCCCACGGAGGGCCTGGTCCGCAGTCCTGCCAGGTACACTGGGGTCACCTGGGTTGCTTTTGCTCAAAGTGTGTGTGGTGATGCTCCTGGCCCAGGACACTGCTTTCCATGTTGGCTTCAGCAGCGCTTTTGGTGGTGCTTGACAGCTGATCCCATTCATTGCTGGTATCTCTGTTGTGGTGCTTGGTCCCCAGCCAGGAGTTGGGGTCTTGCACTGGGTACTGAACCCACACTGCTGGATGTGTCCTCCTCCTCCATCCCACTCGGCTGCAGGGGTTCATCTCTGGGGTGGGTTTGCCAGTGCCACAGCTCAGGTGTTGTCCTCCTGGGGTGGATTTGCCCTGTAGAGAAAGGCAGGACCTCAGTAGGCATTGCAGGCTGTCAGCTGGAGGATGCCTAGGTTTCAGTAGTTTGGGATCAAATGTGCCCTGAGGACACTGACACATCCCCAGCAGGAACCAAGGGCTTCTCCAGCCTGAGCTGCCAAGTCACTTACGCAATTCTGTGTGATGGCACCTGGTGTGATGCAGCCCAGAAGCACACATAGGAACCCAGCTCTTGGAGGGAGGGGACAGGAGCAGCTCGTCAAGGTGGTGCAGACCAAGGGTGGAATGGGTTGCACTGGTGCAAAGCAGGACAACCCTGGGGTGTTACAGACCTTCCCATCATGCTCTGGTGCTCCTCTTTGGGGTTAGCTGGTGCAGAGGGTCCCTGCTGGGGGGATACCTCAGGGGAGCCATGTGTCCTATGCTGAATTTCAGACATGCCTTTCCTCCTGGTTTTAGGTGCAGCCATCAGACACTGTGATGAGGAGAAGGGCTGGCTGGAGCCAGATCTCTTCAACTGCACTTCACCTGCCTTCAAGGAACTCTCTATGCTGGTAATCCCCTCTCAGCTCCACAGCCCTGACAGGGCAGGAGCCATATGAGCAAGGGCTCACAGCCGGGTTTCAGAGCTCAGCTTCAGCTCTCTGTGGTCACCTAGAGTAGGAGCAGGTCTTGCCACAGTGCTCAGCACCTTTCTCTTCCCATCTCCTGCCTCCAAACCCATCCTGTTTGAGCATTGGTCTGAGCTGAAGTTCACTTTGGTTTTGTCTCATCTCTTGAGTGTCCCCATCAGAAATTACCTGTGTCCTGCCCCAGTATTTGAGAGGAAAACAAATAACCCTGAGCAGGGCTGAATTGTTTGAAGCTGGTGGGATGTCTACCCCTTGGGACATCTGTGGCCCCCAGACCCTTCAGTGACAAATCCCTTTGAAGTATCCAGGCAAGTTTATTAAACACTTGCATCCCACCAAGGCTGAACTGTAACTGAAGCCAGAAGAGTTTTCAGGGAAGTATCGCTAGATGCTTGCCCTGTCCTTTCACCTCCTTGGCCTCTGTCACATATGGTACTGGGTTAGCTGAGCCTGGCCCAGTGCAACCCCTGATGTGTTGCTGGAGGCTGTTCATCTGCCAGAGATTCTTCCTGCTCTAGTGACCACCACTGTGTGTGTCCCTGGCTTGTGCCATGGTTTTAAAAATCATCTCTGTGCCAAGTGGGGCCTGCAGCATCCCAGTTCCCCAGGGAGGAACTGCTTGATTGTTTAATCCTCTCCTTTCTCTCCATTGGCAGCTGGAGGGCTTGGAGAGGAACGAGACTGAACTCAACACAATTGAAGCCAAGAAGCTGGCCCACCGTCTCCGGGCTGTAACAGACCACATGGACCACTACTTTGGCAATGATGTGCACATCACTTTCCGCCTGCTGTCCCGCCTCATGGCTTTTGAGAGCCGTCAGCGTGGCTTTGGCCTGACAGCCACGCAGGATGCCCACTTCAATGAGGTGAGTCCTTTCCCCAGGGTGGCTTCCGAGGCTGCTTCTCTTTATCAGCCACCATGAACCTGGGTCTCTGAGGGGATCAAGGATGTTGTGAAACCATGCCAGGAGCACAGGGCTCCCCAGTGCCACACCTCATTGACCCATGAAGGCCACCTGCGTGGTCAGGGCTAGAGCTCAGATGGATGAGGAGAGGCAGAGAGCTGGGTTTTCTCAGCCTGGGGAAGGGAATGCAAAAGGAGGTCATCTTGCTGCCTGCAAGTCCCTCACGGCAGGGGTACAGGGAAGATGTCTCTGCAGGACACTGGCTGATGAGCATTGAGAGTGGGGGCCCGTTGTTACAGAAAGTACCCGTCTTCCCTGAGCCTTTATACAGTAACTGGGCAGAGAGCACAGTGCTGCAGCCTGGGGGTGGTCAGGACAGGGCCCAGAGGCAGTGCTTCCCTTGTCCCCTGCCCCCATGTCTCTCCCATGCAGAACCTGCTGCGTGCAGGCAGCTCTGTGCTGGCGCCCGAGAACCGGGAGCACTGGGCCATGCTGCCACACAGTGAGCACAGCAGTGCCAGCCTGATGGAGCAGCTGCGGGACTACTCGGGCACGCTGGCCAGCAACATGAAACTCACCTACCTCAACCCCGTCGGTGTCGTCACTCCCAACATCAGTGAGTAGGAGCTGGCTGGTGGTGGGGCCTGGCTGCAGTGGTGCAGAGCCACTCCTCCATCACTCTCTGTCCCCTTCTCATCTCACCTCGCCTCAGCAAGGGTGCTGATAACCTCCTTGGTGGCTTTCTCAAACATGGGGAGTGGGGAGGTGTTTGTGAGAGACATCCTGGTCCCATCCCTGCCTGGAGTAGATGACACACTACCGAGAGCCAGCAGAGCCAGGAGTGCGCTGCCTGCTCCCAGTTACCTCCCAGTCTCTAGTGAAAAAGCTGCTGACCTCAGTGGCAGAAGTAGCCTGCCCTACAGCAGAGCAAGGATCTGGGCTGGGAAGGAGCACTGTGGGTGCTGGGATCTGACGTCATGCCCAAACACAGGACATATCCACAACCCAGCCTGTGGCTCGTATGGCCCCTTTGCCGGTGACTTCAAACCTGGGGTGCCCTGGAGCATGGTTGCTCTCCAGGTGGCCATCCTAGAGCTGACTTTCAATCCCTTACTCCTCCACAGTGCTGAGCATCGATCGCATGGAGAACCACTCCCATATCCGCCGGCGCTACCCTCGCTACCACAGCAGCCTCTTCCGGGGCCAGCCTGCCTGGGACCCCCACACCCATGTTGTGCTGCCACTGTCGGTGCTGAGCCCCCCAAAAGCTGAAGGTGAGCATATGAGCATCACTTGGGGAACAGCGTGGGGGGGCATGGAAGGGAAGATGTGTCCCTCCTGAGACCTGGTTCTGTCAGAGGTCCATAAGTCACCCTTGAGAGCTCAGAGCTTCTGACTTCACCATATCCCAAAGGCTCCTGGTGGGCTCACAAGCTGCCTTCAGAGCAGCATGTGTGTGTTCTCACCATCCCCTTGTGTGCCTCAGCTGCCCCCACGGCAGTGCCCACACTGGCTGGGGGCGAAGGGAACTACACTGTGGAGAACTCCTCCCCGAGACAGGCGCTGCCAGAGCCCGAGCCCGCTCTCACTGTGATCATCCTCATCATGTACCGCACCCTGGGGGGGCTGCTGCCTGCACGCTACCAGGTGGATCGCCGCAGCGTCAGGTATGTCCTCCCTTTTGCCCTCCACAAGCACCAGGGGAGAGAGGCTGGCTGGAATCTGCTCTGCCTCCTCCAACAGTTGCTGAGTTTGTCTGCAATGGCTTGGGTTTGGTTCCTAGCCAGACAGTCCTGCAGTGCTCTGCCTGTTCCCCACCTTGGTGTTGCTCTGCCCCATGTTTCCTGTGCAGGCTGGGCAGAGCTGTTCCTTCTGAGACATCAATGCAGGATGTCTGGGAAGTCCCCAGAGGGCTGCAGCTGCCAGGCATGGTGATGTTAGAGCTCTGTTGCTCCTTGCAGGCTCCCCAAGAATCCTGTGATGAACTCCCCCATCGTGAGCGTGTCTGTGTTCAGCAATCACACCTTCCTGCGGGGGCCCCTGGACACCCCTCTCGTGCTCGAATTTTGCCTGCTGGAGACAGCCAACAGGAGCAAACCTCTCTGCGTCCAGTGGAACCACTCCAACCTGTGAGTCAAGCATGGCTGGCCCACTGACTTTGAACTGCTTTCCCCAGGCACCTCCTCGTTCTCTGAGTCTCCCTGGCCATGACAGGCTGTGTGCCTGGGCAGCACTGGGACATGGGGGTTTCTGCCCTCTCCCAGGGGGTTAGTTCCTGCTGGGAGGGCACAGCAGGGTCCCTGCAGAGTTCTGGCCCCAGTACGTCAGCTGTAAGAGTGAAGTTGTATCTGCTGGTAGAAAAGCCTTGCCAATCACCCCTCTTCTCTGAGGTTCCTTCCCCACACACCACACTCATCTGTCTTCTCTCCTAAGTGCGCTCTACTTTTTGGTGGCTGCAGGACCAACCCCTCCGGCTTCTGGACAGCCAGGGACTGCGAGCTTGTGTACCGAAACACCACACATGTCCACTGCCAGTGCTCCCAGTTTGGCACCTTTGGGGTTCTGATGGACAGCTCGCACCGAGAGGTAACCTCAGCCTGTGGGGCTGTGGGCGGTGGTGGGGGCTGTTAGCCACTGGGTCCCAGAATAAGCAGGCACAGGCAGAAAATTCCCTGTCGGACACAAGTAGAGTTTGAGAGCTCAGCAGGCTTCCCATGTCTCCCCCTAACACTGCTGTTTGCCTTTGTTCTCTGCTGCTGCAGCAACTGGAAGGTGACCTGGAGACATTGGCAATTGTCACCTATTCCTTGGTGTCTCTCTCCTTGGTGGCTCTGCTGCTGACCTTCTCCTTCCTGACCTGCCTCAAAGGCCTCAAGTCCAACACGCGTAGCATCCACTCCAACATATCAGTCACCCTCTTCTTCTCTGAGCTGCTCTTCCTCCTGGGCATCAACCGCACCGAGAACCAGGTCTGTGGGCTTGAACAAGCATGCCTATGGGGGTGGGGCAAGGTGTGGGTGATGCAGTTAGTGTGTGGCACAGTGGGACCATCTCTGAGTGACTTTTGTGTCCCCAGTTTCTTTGCACTGTGATTGCCATCCTCCTCCACTGCTTCTTCCTCTCCACCTTCGCCTGGCTCTTCATCCAGGGCCTCCACATCTACCGCATGCAGACCGAAGCCCGCAATGTCAACTTCGGGGCCATGCGTTTTTACTACGCCATCGGCTGGGGGGTGCCTGCCATCATCACTGGTAAGAGCTGCTTGTCCTACAGCCATGCCAAAAGCGCCAGTTCTCAGCAGCCTCCTGATCCCCTGGTGTTGCCCAACTCAGTTACCCAGTGGGGAATGCTGAGGGTGGGCTTGCCACAGCCAGCAGTGCTGGCAGCAAGCAATGTTGTGGCAGTCACTGAGCACAACGTATCTTGCCTCCTGGGGAGAAGTAATTCCTCAGTGCATCTCCCCATAGCTTGTTCTATGGGCATGGGGCTCTTGTTGTCTCAGGGCTTGTGGTTAAGGTCTCTTGGTTTCTCAAGCCAGCGTGCTTGGGTGATCTGTTGCTGGCAGTGAATGCCTGCTGCATTGGGCTGTGTCAGGGATGCCTGGAGAAAAGGAAATAAAGGCCCTAAAGGCTTGCCTTTCTGGCAGGGAAGCCTGTGCACAGGGCAAGGAGCAGCGAGAAGGCCCCTTCATGGCGTTCAGTGTTGGGATGGGATTGACATGGCTGGGGAAGTCCAAGGCTGCTAGGTCTGGACCTGACCTCTCCCTTCCTCCTGCAGGGCTGGCCGTTGGCCTGGATCCTGAGGGCTACGGGAACCCTGACTTCTGCTGGATTTCCATTCATGATAAGCTGGTCTGGAGCTTTGCAGGCCCCATTACTGTCGTCATTGTGGTAAAACCCTGTCCTGTTTCACCCACAGCCCTCTCCTGCCTCCCTTCTCTGCACCATGGGCACTTGCCCCTTCCTCGGCTGCCCACTGCCTGCCCCCTTCTCTGTATTCTCCTTCCTCAGTTAGAGGCCCTCTCTCTGTTCCTCCTCACTCCAGCCAAACTTGGGGGAGGCCATGGCTCGGGCATGAAGGGGAAAGGAGGGAATGTTTGCATGGGCCTGGCGGACCTGGAGTCTGCCCATGCCCTGCGCTGGGGATGTCAGGTCAGAGCCAGCCCTTGGCACAGCTTCTAATCAGTGCCAACGCTTTCAGATGAATGGGGTCATGTTCCTGCTTGTGGCCAAGATGTCCTGTTCCCCAGGCCAAAAGGAGACCAAGAAGAAATCAGTTCTGTGAGTATTAGTGGCCAAACTCCCAGCAGAGCTCCTACAGCTGGCTTATGGTTTTTAGTATTTTCAGTGATCATCCTCCCTCTTCCACCATCGCAGAGTGTCCCTCTGTGCATCAGTGTCAGCCTTGCAGCCGCTCTCCTCTCCCACACCTGCTGGCCACATTAACCCTTCCTAAACTTTGTCCTTTCCTCTTGTTCCTACGCCCCCTTCTCCACAGTCTCGCGCCAGCCTGTCCCACTTCACCGCTTGCCCTCACAAGCACCCCTTGCACCTGCTTGGATTCAACACTCTGCCCTTGTTGACTCTCAGCACCTGCTTTTTCTTCTCCTACATGCTTGTTCTGAGACCTTCCCCCGCTCCCTCCTGGGCCAGCCCTGGAGCTTGGCTCAGCTCTCTGTGGCTCCAAATGACCTGTGTCGTTTGGCACCCCATGTTTGCCATGCGTGATCCAGAGGGAAGACCCAGGAGTCAGGAGGAGCCGAACGGCTGTGCAGAGATGAGCCCACAGTGATGGGCATAGCAGGGAGGGCTGGGCAGGAGCGTGCTTTCCCCTCTGGATCACTGTCTGTGAGCACTAGACTGTAGATTAACAACACGCACTAACCTCTTGGTGTGTGTCTGTGTGCCTGTCTGTCTGTCTCTCTCTCCAGCATGACGTTACGGAGCTCCTTTGTTCTGCTTCTAGTTATTAGCACTACCTGGCTCTTTGGCCTCTTGGCTGTCAACAACAGTGTCCTGGCTTTCCACTACCTCTACACTGTCCTCTGCAGCCTCCAGGTAACTGCCCGGCCTCTTCCGGGGAGGGCGTGGGTCAGCCCAGGAGAGTGTCCCTGTGATCCCCACGGCCGTCTGTGGAGAGTGGGCACCCCACGCTGAGCCCCCAGCATCCCACTGGGCTCCTTGTCCCTTCCATTGTCACCACTGCGGCAGCGAGCAGCTCCTGCCAGTCCTCGCTGCTGTGCCTGTGGTGAGCAGTGGCATGGAGCAGGAGGTGGCTGTAAGGTGGTTGGTTCAGAGGTGACATCCAAGGGGCAGCGAGGACCATCTTTGGAGGGAAGGGGTCTCCCTGCTCTCAGAGAGCAGAGCAAGAGAGCGTCCGGCAACAGAGATGTTTGACACCCCAAATGTGACCCATGGCAGCACCCTGCAGACCTCCTGCAACCACCATGGCTGGTGTTGCTTCCAGGAGACCCTGCCAGTCGCATGTGGGCTGCCGCCAGCCATGGGACACCCCATCCTTTCCTCCCTCACCCGTGACCACCATGGGGGTTAGCGCTGATCAGTGTCGAGAGGTTCTTCGGTGTATCCCTGCCCTGGTGGCCACCAGGGCCAACATGCTGGGCTCCGGAGGAGCCAGGGAGCAGCCAGGATCTGGTGCTGCGGGTGAGCAGGTCAGCCAACAGCAAGGGGCTGTCTCTCATAGCATCGCTCTCCACAGGGCCTGGCTGTGCTGGTCCTGTTCTGCGTGCTGAACGAGGAGGTGCGGGAGGCCTGGAAGCTGGCCTGCCTCGGCAAGAAGGGGCAGAGTGAGGAGGCCACGAGGAGCACGCAGGTGGGCGAGAGCAGGAGCAGCCCAGGGGTCTGGGGACAGGCTGCCTGCTGGGGACAGGAGCTGACAGGGACGTCCCTTTTTCCCCGGGGGGATGGTGGGTGTGGGTGGGAAGGGCACCCCTGGGCTGCTGCAGCGCCTCCTTAACAGGGCACATTCCTCTCCCCACCTCACCAGGGCCCCAACGCCTACAACAACACAGCACTGTTTGAGGAGAGCGGGCTCATCCGCATCACCCTGGGGGCCTCCACCATCTCCTCGGTGAGCAGCGTGCGCTCTGCCCGCACCCACTCCAGCCAGCGGGCTTACCTCAGGTAAGGAGCGGCGCAGGGCTCCCGGGTGCCGGCAGCACCCAAGCAGAGCCGAGGGCTCCTGCCGCTGTGACCCTTCGGGCCTCCTGTCTTTCAGAGACAACGTGACAGCGCGTCAGGGCTCAGCCCTGGATCACAGCCTGCTGGCTCATGCTGGCCCCACGGACATTGACGTGGCCATGTTCCACCGTGATGCTGGGGGAGGTAAGGCTCAGCTTGGTGCCCGGGTTTGGCACTGACGCAGCGCATCCCAAATTAACTCCTGGCTTAAGGAATTCCTTCCCAGTGCAGGCTCTGGCTCTACGGTTACATCCTCCACCCCGTGTTTGGCTCTGACTCCCAAACACACTGTGGATATGAAGGAGAGGCAGCAGCTGTGTTGCAGCTGGACAGACAGCAAAGGGCATAGCCAGTCTCCAAGGAGCTAGAAATGGAGGAGGCAAGAGGTGGGGGCATAGGCTGTGCTGGGGTCTGTGGGGACACTGGGCTCCCCAGTATGGCACAGGCACTGACCCACTGGAGTTGGACGGGGCGGGGGGGCAGGCGAGCAGGGGCTGAGGGAGGTGGGTTTGCTCAGCCTGGGGGAAGAGGAGGCACAGGGGATCTTACAGCTATTTGTAACTCCCCTACAGGGAGGTGCAGCCAGCCCCCTCTCACAGGCGCCTGGTGAAGGGCAGGGGGAGCAGGCGCAGGCTGCTACCAAGGGAAGGGCAGTGAGGGGTAAGGCAGGCTGTTGTCCTCACAAGGGTGGTCAGCCCTGGGGTGGTTCTGCCTTCCCAAAGGCAGTGAGAGCCTGGCTGGCCCTGCCCTGGGCAGGGGTCAGAACAAAGACCTCTGGGTCCCTCCCTGCCTCCGTTATTTGGTCATTTAGCTGGCAGATGCTCGCGGGCACGAGTCTCTCCTTCCCCATTTGGGCTGAGAAGCCTCGTCCACCTTCATTCCAAATGTCTCGCCAACACACGCTGTGTCCCTACAGACCAGGACTCTGACTCAGACAGTGACCTGTCTCTGGACGAAGAGCGCAGCCTCTCCATCCCGTCCTCAGAGAGCGAGGAGAATGTGCGCCTGCGGGGCCGCTTCCAGCGCCAGTTCAAGCGGGCAGCACACAGTGAACGCCTCCTCACTAACCCCGCCAACACCACTCCCAAAGGCAAGTCCTGGGGGCTCTGGCAGGGGAAGGGTGAGCTCAGGTCCCTGGGGGCCAGACTGTATCTTGTGATGGCTTCAATTGCTGCTCACAGAAATACTCTCTCCCTCTTCCCCTGTTTTGCTGTGTCCTTCGCCAGATGTGGATGGCAATGACCTCATGTCATACTGGCCAGCTCTGGGCGAGTGTGAGGTTCACCCCTGCTCCCTGCAGAAGTGGGGCTCTGAGCGGAAGCTGGGATTTGACATCAACAAGGATGCGGCCAACAATAATCAGCCTGACCTGGCCTTGACCAGTGGGGATGAGAACTCACTCACCCAGACCCAACGGCAAAGAAAAGGTAACAGCCTGGAGCAAGCAGGCAAGGGTGGCCTGGCCTGTCTCAGGTTCATGTGGCTCTGAAGGCTCAGCATCAGATCGATCTAGTCGTGTCGTTGGGGAGCTATGGCTTATCTCCCTCAGCTTTCATGCTCGTTTCGCTGTTACGCAAAGTCTTGACTTCTCTTTCTGTCCGGTGCAGGGATTTTGAAGAATCGCCTCCAGTACCCTCCGACTCTCCAGGGCTTGCCATCCGTTGGCAGGATGACCAATGAGCTGACATGGTACAAGACCTCTACACTGGGTCACAGGGCTGGTACTCGTCACGGGAGCAGCTTGACATGCTGATGAGGAGACAGATGTCCCGAGAGCAGCTGAGCAGACACAACTCCGGAGAGTGCTTGGAAACCGTGCCCAGCCGGCACGGGTCCAGGGAGGAGCTGGACACTATCCCCAGCAGGCATGGGTCTACTGAACACCTGGAAAGTATCCCGAGCAGACATGGATCTAGGGAAAACTTGGATCTACTGGCTCCTAGGCTCAGTCAGAGAGATCATGGGAACACATTGCCCCGGAGGCAGGGCTCCAGAGACCACCTTGACACTTTACCCTGCAGATTTGGGTCAAGAGAGCAGCTAGACTGTGGGCTAGTAAGAGAGGTCTCTAGGGAGTGGCTAAATACATTGCCAAGTAGGCAAGTGTCCAGAGACCGAATAGACACGTTGCCAAGTCGAGATACTTCTCGAGAACAATTGGATTTGCTTTCTAGAAGACAGCCTTCAAGGGACCAGCTAGCATCAGCTAGACAAACTTCGAGGGAGCAGCTGGACTTTCTCTCCAGAAGATCTAATTCCAGAGAGCCTCTGGACACGGTGCCTAGCAGGCATCCCTCGCAGGACAACCTGGGGAGTCTCTCTAGGAGGCAGCTGTCTAGGGAAAGCCTAGAGCCGCTGTCAAGGAGACAGCCTTCTAGAGAGAACCTGGAGGCCGTTCCCAGCCGACATGCTTCCACTGAACAGTTAGATATCCTTTCTTCCATCCTTGCTTCTTTTAACTCCTCCGTCCTGTCCTCGGTGCAATCTTCCAGCACACCTTCAGGCCCCCAGACCACTGCCACCCCCTCTGCTGCGCAGACCTCCTCGACGCCCTCTGCCATGTGCCCCTCGACGCCTCGCTCCGCCACCTCCCACAGCATTTCGGAGCTGTCACCAGACTCAGAGTAAGTGTGTCCCTTCCTCAGCCAGGCCTCGTTCAGCTGGTCTTTCGCATCATCTGCTTGCCTGGCTTTTTCCCTGAAGGGGGTTTGGTTTGGGGGGAGAGGGCTGTGTAAATGTGAGCCCCTGGGGTGAGTGGCAGGTGTCTCCTGGTCCTGAATTAGTGACTGGGCAGGGAGAACCCTCGGGTATGACTGTTCAGGTGCTTGCAGTGCAGCACAAGGAGAAGCATCAGTGTGTCTGAGTCTGCTCGCTCTGCCAGAAGTGATGGCCCTCACTTGTGGCCTGTGGGGGCTCAGGGAAGATGCTTTGTGCAGTCTCATGGCTGGTCCTCTTGCTCTTGCTCAGTCCCAATGAGCAGATGTGTGCAAGGGCCAGGTTGGCTGGAGGGGAGGAAGGGGCCCAAGTCCTACAGTAGCCCTGTCTGCCCCAGCCACCCTTCTCCCCAGGGACCCTGTCCCATTCTGTCATTTCTTCCACTCCAGCTGTGCTCCCATCCCTTCCCTCCTTTCCTGTTCCCTGAACTCAAGGACTTGGAAACACTTTTCCTGCCCTGACACAGGAGAGGGTTTCTGCCTTGTCCCCATCTGGCATAGATGGGAGAGGCAGCTGGAGCCCAGGGGAGATGCCATGGCTTAACGCTCTTTTTCTTTCCTCCAAGAAGAATAACAAGAAACGAGGGCCATTCCTGAGGGGCTGAAGCTCTCCACAAGAGAGACAGAAGAAGCAGGGCCCTTCGCCTCGCCAAGTGCTGCCAGCTGAGGTTTGGTGTCCCCAGGGGGCAGGGGCCAGAACTGATGGTGGTCAGAGGCCCAAAACCGACCCTGCCTTCCCCCCGCCTGAGGGGCTGGCAGCCCACACCACCCACTGCCGTGAGCCTCTGGGCTCTCGGCTGCCGCCGTGCTCCCCGTCACTTGCCCAATGTGACAGGTACGGCAGGAGCCTGCTCAGGCGAGGGTGGCTTCTCCGACCCCCTGGGGCCGATCTCTTCCTCTGCGACCCGTTTGTATGCAGGGTGTGCGTGTATGCGTGTGTGTGTGCACGGAGGGCAGGCAGGGGGCTGGAAATGGAGCCCAGGACGTGGGGGCAGAGGAGGGTTTTCTATCTTTTTGTATCTTTATAATCAGAGAGAAGAGAAATTTCTATGGTTATTTTTACGGATGGTCTGTTCCCAGGACTTGGAGCATTGTCTCACCAACATCCCTTTGCCGGCTTCCCTGGGGGTACCAGGGACCATGAACCTGGTGGGCCAGAGGGACAGTGCCAGGCAGCCCTCATGGCTTTGCCAGCACTGCTCCATCCCAACCCCACTACAGGGCAGCTGGCCCCACTGCCCCCCTTGCCCTCCCACCGTGCAGCTCCACACGTGTCTCAGCGCCATCCTCCTGCTTTGGCATCCCTCAGCCCCCTGTAGCCGTGCTGGCCCCGCAGCCAGGTCCCACTCTGCCCTCCCATGGGACCCCCCTTGGGGCTGCCCCCCATTTTTGAGCCAGGACTGTGCGCCAGTGAGAGCACAAATGAGTGGGGCAGCAAATTCGGCACTAGGGACCTGCTGGGGGAGGAAACAAGCTTTGTTGTTCTGTCCCGTCCTGTACCAGAATGGTCCCACTCCTATAAGCGCTGGTTTCCTCCTCTCAGCAAATGAGCGCTATGTTTTTACACACTATATGTTGTGCTCTTTAACCTGCGTATTACAGAGCAAACCTCCGTTGGTTCGTGGGTCCAGGCAAGGAGCTGGATGACCCTGCAGCAGGCTAGGCTGTTCTCAGAGCTGGCACTCACCCTGTGGAGGATTAGCATCCACAGGAACATGATGTGGCTCCAGTCTTGGGGTCCAGCATTTCCCACAAGGTTGTATCTAGCTGGTCCCCTGTGGGCTCTGTGTACATACGCACTCATCCCTGAGCTCTCTGGCTGGCAGAGGACCCCATCTCAGAGTGGCCTGGATTTGGGGAGATGGGAATAAACAGCACTTTTTGCCCTTTCTGGAAATTCAGGCCACCCTGATGTTTCTCTGCTTGTCCGGGGGCCTGACCCAGGGTTCCCAGGGTCTCTGCCGTGAGGTGACACTACTCTGTGCCTGCCCCAGCCTTGGGCCAGGGGCAGCCGGCTCGGGGGGCCGGCACGTTCCCTTTCACCTGCCAAGTGTGGTGCCTCGGCTCAGCTGCCCCCGTGGTGCTCTCGGGGCTGCATAACAGCACGCTCCTTACTGCCTTACTACCACACTGCTGTAGCGTCTCACTGCAGCCTCACCTGACATGTTTACAGGGGAGGACTTATGCCGCTGTCCTCCGGGCCTCTGGAGAGGCCAAGGCCTCTCGGCTATGTCCCCGAGTCAGCAGGGAGGGCATGGAGGGGACAGAGGGGCTGGGTGATGGGGGTGCTGTGAGCCTGGCAGGGGCTGCCTGACCCCATCACAGCCCTGACGAGGCAGGCTCACTGCCGCCCTTCTCCCAGGGCTGGGGAGGGAAGGGTCTGCTGACGTGTTTACATGCCATTTGGGACCGGCGTGCAGAGGGGAAGCTTGCCAGCCCCCCCGTACTGGGAACAGCTGGGCCCTCCGTGCTGCCCGTCTTCGCCTTCGCAAACAAACTCGTTTACATGTTTCTCTCCGGCTGCGCAGCACCGGAGCCCTGGGCTGTGCCTCAGCCAGTGCCGTGTTACCCCCTCGGCACCCTGGTCCTGTCCCTGCTGTGCTGTAGGGCCCACTTTTCTGCCAGCTTGGCCACAAGGATGTTTTGTGTTGGTGCCAAACAGAGAGCAAGTGACAAGTGCCAAAAGAAGAGCGCAGCGGAGCCGGCGGCTGTCCCTGCAGAGCTGGGCTGGTCGAGAAGCAGGATTCTGTCTGTGGCTTGGTCCCTGATTGCAGTGCTGTGGCCTGGGCTCTGGGGAGCATCGGGTGGGGTGGGCAGGGGTTGGTTGGTTTGTTTTTTTTTTTTCTCTCTCCATCTCCCAGTTCTGTGGGCAAGGAGGAGGAGATGCCCACGCCACCCCCCACCCCGGCTGTGTAAAAGTGTATCATGGAAGCGCCGGATTTGGAAATAAAAATCTATAAAATGGTACTGGCCTCTCTGCCATCTCTCCGGCGCTTGGACTCCACGGCTGGGGCTGTGGGCAGAGCGCCTGGGCTCGAGGCAATGCTGGGAGGGGGCTTGGGCAGGAGCTCACAGCCCGTTCCTGGGCTGAAGGGGTGTCGCTATGGCTTGGGACGAGGTGACCGGGTGGCAAGGACTTCAGGTGCTGCCAGTTGTTTGACCTTGGCTGTGTCCAGGCCGATTCACCCCGAGGTGGGGGCGGCTGGGGGGGGGGCA